GGCGGGGGACGAGCCCCGCAAGCGGCGCAAGGTTGGCGTCGTGCTCACCGACGCGCTCCGCGCCGCCTGGCGCCGCTTCGCCGCCGACCTCTCCGCCGCCGAGCGCGCCGCCGCCGCCGCCGAGGGCGGCTTTGCCTTTGCCTTCGTGGAAGGAGCCCTCGTTTCCGCGCTGCGCGAGGGATGGTGGCTTCTCTTGGACGAGATCAACCTCGCGCCGCCCGAGGTTCTGGAGCGCATCGCCGGCGTCCTAGAGACCTCCTCCTCGGCCTCGGCCGCAACTTCGGAATCCTCAAACGGCGCTGACGGAGAGGCGGAGGCCAGCGGGCTGCTGCTCGTGGAGCGCGGCGACGCGGCGGCCGTGCCGAGGCATCCGGGGTTCAGGCTAGTCGCGGCGATGAACCCCGCGACGGACGCGGGCAAGCACGACCTGCCGCCGAGGCTGCGGGGGCGCTTCACTGAGCTGTGGGTGTCGGAGCCGCGGCAGAGGGCCGACCAGGCGGCGCTGGTGGCGGGGTACTTGGCGGGCGCGGCGCCCAACCCGCCTGTGGACGCGGTGGTGGACTTCTACAGGGCGGCCAAGGCTGAGGCGGTGGGCGGGCTTGGGGGGGGGGCGCATAACCTTGAACTGCGAGGGCGTGCTGCGGGGCCGTGGCGCCAAGGCTGGGTTTGAGTGCAGATGACGGCAGGGGCCGAGGACGATGGGCTCGTGGGATCTCCAGCTGAGGCGGCGTATGGGTTTGGGTGCTGCCAGGTCAGCAGTCGCATGCCCAATCACGCATTTCGGCCCCCACCTCTCACTGCCTGCGGTCGTCTTACCTCGGATATCTGGCACCATCCGCCCCACCCAGGAGGCGAGCCTGACCGACGGCTCCGGCCAGCGGCCCGCCTACTCCCTGCGCACCCTCTGCCGCGCCCTGGACTACGCCCGGACTGCCGCCCCGGCCTACGGACTGCAGCGCGCGCTCGCCGACGGACTGGCCATGTCCTTCTCGACGCAGCTGTCCCCGGAGTCAGCGCCGCGCATGGAGCAGCTGCTGCTGCAGGCGGCCATGCCGGGCACCAAGCCCGCCGCCGCCGCCAAGGCGCTGTCCCGCGCGCCCGCGCCCCCGCCCGGCGGCGCCGAGACCCACGTGCTGTTCGAGAGCTTCTGGCTCGAGCGCGGCCCGCTGGCGCCGCCGGCGGGCGGCGCGGAGGACGACGGGGCGGCGCGGCGGTTTGTGCTGACGCCGAGCGTGAGGAAGCACCTCGCGAACCTGGCGCGGGCGGCGCTCGTGCGCAAGCACCCCATCCTGCTGCAGGTGCGGCTGCTGCTGCGGCTGCTGCCGCCGCTGCTGCTGCTGCTGCTGCTGCTGCTGCTGCTGCTGCTGCTGCTGCTGCTGCTGCTGCTGCTGCTGCTGCTGCTGAGCCCATCCGCGCATGCGCCACTCAAGCGACTGCCTTTTTAATCTCTTCAAATCTGGCCGGATGTGCGCTCATCTGTCCAGCCCTGGACTGCAGACTTTGGCCTTCCTCCCTACCTCACTCCCTGTGCCCTCTCCACCACCACCACCACCACCCCTTGACCCTCTCCCAATCCCACCGATCCCAGGGCCCCACCAGCAGCGGCAAAACCAGCCTGGTGGCCTACCTGGCTGCCCAGACCTGCCACCACTTTGTGCGCATCAACAACCACGAGCACACAGACCTGCAGGTGGGGCCTCATTTCGTTTTTTCTGGGGTGTGTTTTGTGGAGAAGTGCGGGCGAGAAGGGGGGGGGGGCACCAGGATTCGGGCGGCGCCACAGCCCAGAGTGTGTGTCGGTTGCCCGCTCATGGGGCCGCGCCGCTGCTGGCGGCGCCCGTCGCGTGCTTTGGGCGTCTCGCGGCATGCTTCCAGGAAGCGTCGCCAGGCGTTGCCTGGCGCGGGGCCGGCGGGGCTCTCGGGAATGCATGCGGCCGCGCGGACAGCGGCCCCCGCCACCTGGCCCGGGATCGCGCCTCTTTGTGCGACTGGTTCCCATCACAAAAGCAGTCGGCACCCCCCTGCACGTTTCACCGTGGCGCGGCGGCGGCGCCGCACGTAAACCAACAACCCCTAAAACCTGAACCCCTGAACTCTAAACCCTGAACCCCGAACCCCTCAGGAGTACCTCGGCAGCTGGGTGCCCGACGAGACTGGGCGCCTGGTGTTCAGGGAGGGCGCCCTGGTGACTGCCCTGAGGGCCGGCCACTGGCTGGTGCTGGACGAGCTCAACCTGGCGCCGACTGAGGTGTTGGAGGCCCTCAACAGGTGTGGGGCGCGCCGCTGCTGTTGCGCTCTCCCCTTTTGGATTTTGCGAGGGCCCCGGTATGCATGTGGGGCAGCGAGAGCGCGCAACAGGTCACACACGCACCTCTCACAACCCACACAGTTGCTCAACCCCCACTCTGCACCCCTCAACGCACACAATTCGACTCGACCGCACACAACGCCACTCCCACACGGCCCCACCCCCCACCAAATC